CCCCAAAACCCCAAAACCCCAAAACCCCGTCAATATGGATTTAGCAGGATTCTAAGAAAGTCATAATAAAATTTATTGGAATATATATAGCTTTTAAATAACTCATGGAAAATAATTGTAAAACTACTACTTCAAAGCAACAGCACCTCCCAAATAAATCTAATTCAATTTCTTTGAACCAGCTTTAAAAAAAATACAACTAGTAAAGTATGCTGGAGAAATTGATTCACCAAAAGTAAGATAAATTACCAAAGGATTCAAAAGTACCTAAGAAAAATGCCAATTTTAATGAATATTTAAAGGAGGTTGATCGCAAAATAGAGCTTTTGGAGATTACCTTAAATTAAAATACTTAAAATCCAGCAATTAATAAGAGAGATTCACTCAGGATATCAGATGATGACATCTGTCTTTTAAATGAGGAATCTAGTTTACTTAGCACACTTAATAACCTTTAAAGTCCTTTAGACGGCCATCAAGAGTTTGATTTTGATAAATACTTCCGATAATATGGAGGAAGCGCAAATACTGATAGCATTAGAAATATAGATGCTTTCGATAAATAATTACAATTAAATCAACCCATTCAAAAAGAAAACATGCTTGCTCAATAAAATGTCCATAATTAATCTAGAGGGCTTATTCCCGCCTCAAATAACCATATCATCTATTCAAATCAAAATGGAAACAATTAAAGCTAAGTTCAAACCATTCCAATAAATATAAATAAAACGGAATCCCCAAGAACAACTGGGAACTTTAATTATAACAAGTAATTTATAGAGGTTGGGGATATTAGTGAAATAGCGGAGGCAATGGAGGAGGAAGAGGATAATGAAAGCTAGTATATAGATAAAAAGCGTTAAATTATCAAGAGCAGATTGATAAGTGGAGATTGTTCAGTTATTCAAAATTCAGATATTCAATCTCATCTTAGCTCTGTAATTTTACAGCATGCTTCTAACTATTAAGGTCTAGAAGAGGAGGAAGATGAGCGAAAAGAAAGAAAAACATCATTAACTATCTCTCAATAGAATAGATGTTAGCAAGATTCAAGTCTATATAGAAGAAATTCATTGAAAGAAGACTTTATCCTTTTTATTGAGAATGAAGAAGATATAAAAATTATAGACATTAAGCAGACCCAATATTAAAGTCATTTTCCTGGCATTTAGAATGCCCAATAATCTCAAAGTGGCATTTCTGCATCAGAAATAGACTTAGCATCTTCGAATTAGTCATAATACTATTCAAATTAGGAAAGGATGTAGAAGTACTCACCATAGTATGTAAGATTAATAAAGCCAAAAAGGAGGGGGTTTTAGTTACTCAAGTAATATCTTCTTGCTTATTTCTAAGGGTGGAAAGTTCGAAGAATTATGAGATCAGATCAGATTCAAAGACAAATAAGAGTTTTCAAGGTATAACTTAAGCTCATTAAAAATAAAATGGATTATCTCAAATTAGATAGAATAAGAGACCAAATACTAATATAATTTGGTGTTATCTTTAAATCCAAAAACTGGCTATGTCTCGTTACTAATTCAATTAAGGGGAATAAGCCCGAGGCTAAATAGATTCAGCAGACTAAATAGCAATAAATAGTTGATATTAAATTTAAAATCATTCCAACATCTAGGCAAAAGCCTGCATTAAATCAGCCAAGATTGCATTTGAAGCAGAGTCAATAGAAATTTTAAATGGACTTATAACAAAAATCTTAGAAAATTCTGCAAAAACTAGAATCTTTTACTAAATAACAGCAAGATTTAAATTAGATCGCGAATTTAAAAAAGGGAGATAATCTTAATAGTAGAAATAAGGGTTAAAAATCTGTACTTTAACCATCATCTACCAGCTATAACTTGCTTAACGCTAAGCCTACATCCATTGTGGCAAAGCATAGTTAGAGTCAAATTAAAATAACCTTAAAGCACCCAACTTAATCAGTTATTTAATAATAAACAACATCTAGCTTAATTTCTGTAAATCAAACCAAACTAGATCTAGGTCGAAAAAGATCTCCAAATACAAGAATTTCTGATAACTTTCATTAGAAGCGGCAATTAGGTTCTAATAATAAATGCTAAACTTCAAGGAATAATATTGATAATTTAGCAATATCTTTGAAACAATAGGATGCAAGCTAATAATTTGAGCAATTTTATGATTAAGAGACCTCCTCCATTTTGAAAAATTATGTAACCTAAGACAATAGATCAATAACTCGATTTGATTAGCAAGAGTATAATATGTCACTGCTATATAAGCAAACAGGAAATATACTTCAAAGATCATCAAGGTCACCATAACCATTCCAAAGAGGAGAAATATCAAAGACTGATTATTTTTCATAGAGCAAGAAGAGTCTAACAAATCTGTAAAATTAAAAGCAATAGCAAAATGCTACATCATAACCAATTGTAGAGAATCAAAGAAAGCCTAGAAAGGCAAAAGTGAATTTTATCAGAAGAAATTTGACTTAGAGAAATATAATAGGTCGAATTGTAAAGGATAGAAGTCCAGCACCACCAAGTAGGAACAAACTTTTAGAGGACAAAAGTTTCCAAAACTTAAGGAGAATGAGCAAAGGATTTCTTTCAGAAAGACCAACAAGCGATGATGAAACGGACAGAGGAGATATCAGTAACACTAGAGAAATACAGAGGACAATGATATACACCACTGATGCTGCTTCAGAATTCGATTTGAAGAAAAGACTAAGTCATTGTAACATTGCTAACGGAACATCGTTTGATGGAGAATCAAATTCATCTTTAGTTTAATTGAAATCACTAGATCTGATAAATGATTTTGTCAATAAAATGGGAAATAATATGGCAAGCTAAAAATGTGAATTAAAAAATGATCTTTTGACTAAATCAAGATGCGACCAAGAATTTGAGGTAAGATTTAGATTTTAATTCATCAAAATAGAGTCTGATAAATGGTTTAAGAATGGAGTATTAATAAATATTTTCTAAGCAACCTTAGAGCTTATCATTATCTCACTAACAAAATAAAAATTCACATAGATGAATCAGTGTAATGAAGACAAAATAACTATTATGATCTTTAATTTAATAAATTTTCCATTTATAAAATATTAATAATTTAATGAAATTCTCAGTTAGTTAGCGAGTTCTTCAGGATCTCGAGCTAAACAAAAAAGAAAAGCCTCAATCAAAACATTAACTCTATAAAATTCTTTCTCAAACTCCACATCCTCATCTCTACCCAATGAAGGTAGCAGGAACCAAGAAATATTCTTAATAAATTTCTCCTAATATGTCGACTAGTATTCCTTTCGGGAGAGGTGATTTGAGCACTACTAATTACAACTCCCAGAGCATTACTCAATCTAGAATAGGAGGTACAAATGCTGGAGGTCCAACTCCAGTATCTCCAGCAAAACACAATATCAGTCATTCGAAGCTAAAAACAATTTACTCTCAGCATCGATCTAGTCCCTCCATGAAGACATTAATGTCATTAAAATCAATGAATACCACTCATAAGAGAGCTGATTCTCTAATAAACAAGAATACTTCTTATCTTTAGCTGTAAGTAGGAGTAAAAAACCAAAATCTTAATGGAGAACTTTCCTATAAGCAAGATTTTCACAAGAATATATTTTTCCCTCTCATTGTAAACAAGAATATTATTGCCGCAGAATCAGATGAAACTTAAAGTGTTGAAACGAGTAAACTTTAAATGCAAAATGGCGATGCCTCACTCTTTTAAAATCACCCCTACTATCAAGATTTTGAGCATAAGATGCACGATTACCTATAACTCAATAAGATTGACAAAGCTATTAACATACTCGATGAAGACTTAAATGATGATCCCCAGAAACAGATTATAGAGGCCTTCAAGAATTCTACATTATTTTAAGATTTAATTAGAAAAAATAATGGAATTGTTGAGGACAATGGATAAGTTTATAATCTTAGAAATAATGAAGAAATGGTCAGATATGTTAACAGAGAAATAGAAAATAAGGAGAAAACTTATGATGCTTAAGATACTCAATAGCTAGTATATAATAGAAGGCAAATCAAGTATCTTTTCAGTTCCCTGATAGAGAAAAACTATGAATAACAAATGAAGCCTGACTATGAAAAGCAGTTTCAAAATGACTTATTCAAGACTACTGCTTAAAATGATTATGAGAATCAATAAAGCCTGATTAAGAAATCAAAAAAATTAGACCTCTTTGATCCTTTAAAGGTCCTAGACTACTACTAGCAGAGTAAGAATCATAAAATTGCTTAAGCATAGGAAGATGAAATTAAGAACAAAATTATCGAATTCGCAAGGGGATTAGAAATGGATAAAAATAAAGACTATGAAAAATTGAGATAAAAATTTCATCTCACTTATAATTTCAGTCATAAGGATTAACTTGAAGGAGAAGATCCTAATTCAATCAAGAAGTAGCTAGCAAGATTCCTCTCAGAATAGAAGCTAAAAGTTGATTTAGTTGATCACTCTGAAGAAGTTGGAAGGGGAGTTTTCTTTGATGAAAATAACAAAATGATAGATTATGACTAGTATATTCAGAAAGATAAGACAACTTTGGGCTCAAACAGAAATGTGGATCAATACTATCTCAATAATGATAATTACAAAGATGATGTGCCCTTTGATCTATATAATATGGTCAGTCTGGCTAAGAGGATCGATTTTAAAACTAAACTTGACTTAAACCTTGCAGATATAACTAAAGATATCATAAAGAGCTAATTCGATGAGAAAAACGAATTAAACACAATATAAGACTTAGCAAGGAAGCATTTACCGAAGGAAATCATTGAGGAAGACGGATAATTCTATATTCAAAGTATAACAGATTTAGAATAAAATAAGAGTGCAAAGAAAAATGAAGCTGGTCAATCCAAATTAGAATTAGAGTAAAATGCAATGAAAAAATCTAGTTCAAGCAGGAATTTCATCGAAAATATTAAAAACAACAGCCAATAGTAATCAGATGATCTAAGCTAGTAATAAATGCCCAGGAGTAAATACAATAAGTGGTATATAAATGCAAACCATAGATTTTAGAAAGAAATTAATCTGAATAAGCAGCCAGGTATTAAGGTATTTGATGCTTAGAAATTCAAAAATTCCAGTGAGCTAAAAAAATCAGGGTTCATCCCATATTTTAAATTTGGAAAGTATACTCAGTATGATATACAGCAAGACCATGAACTAAAGGATGCAATGGCTAAATATCAAAATATCTAAAAGCACTTGAAAGACAACGAGATTGCTCTCGTTTATAAGAATTACCTATCTGAGAAGAAAGGAGGAGATAAATTCTTACCAAACTACTTAAAGAAACTTAAGCCAATTACACCAAAGAATAAAAATAATAAAAAAGATGATTTCTTCAGTTGAATTTACAACTATGTTATCTAATTAATTCAATATTCATGAATAATATGACAATGGGGTTTTGGGGTTTTGGGGTTTTGGGGTTTTGGGG